ATCATTTAGTATCCACAAAAACAATGGAGTCAAATGTTTAATAGCCTTTGGGTTCTATTGGTTTGTGGGAAACATGTGGACCACGGTTCATATTCCGACTTTGGTCAAGGTTGCCGACTCTTACTGTTGTGTCAATTACAGGGATTCAACATTTTCTTGGCATATGTAATGGATGTAATGGTCCAAACTTCGTTGGTTCGCTTCATATTTTGGGGGAAACTCCTCTTTCACCAAATCGCTGTCAACTCTTCGAGAAACTGTGGAGCAGTGCACGTCTTCGAGGACGAGCGCCATCCCCACCGCCACGGCATTTTGTAGAAATTTGCCATGCCAAGAGAATGTGGGAAGTTACAAAGAAGAATTAAGAGCGCAGCATCTTGAGCGTGTTGGAAATTGCAGGGAAATAGTTAAGAGCGTGGCATCAAGAGTGTGTTGTAAATTGCAAAGAAAGTTAAAACCGTAGCAGGTCCTGAAAAACGACAAGTTATGCATCAATGGTATTTGAGGACACCTTTTTTTCCTTCAGATTGTGCTTTTGCCAGGATTTGCTGCTGTCCGCGGAGATATTGGGCCCGGCACGCTTCTCAAAATTTCAGAAGTGATGTTTCGGCCAAACTTTTCAGACTCGTGTTCGCACTTCCAAACTCCATCTTTCCAACAGTGATTGAAAAACGCTAGAAACCGCGACAGCGAGAAGACCCAGATCACATCACAGCATCTGAAGTTGAAGACTTGAAACCCAAGCGACATGTTTCTGATCGTTTCCCTGCATACAGCCCAGCAAACTTGCTGTGCAAAGTCCCCTGCGACAATCTGAGGTTCCAGCATTGAAGCCAGAGCCCAGGACGGGTTGTTCTCTCGCTTCTTTTGCTACTCTTTTGTACATTTTCTGCCGTGCTGTCGGATGCCTTTCTTGTCTCCCCCTTTGTTTTTTCGATCATAGAAAAGGAATCATCGGTCACAGCTACATTGTTCGGTAATATTCACATCTGTGGCCTATCGCCCCACAAGATTCACCGATCGAAACTCTGAACGAGGAGCTGGAGGCTTTTCAGCAGGTTCTGGACAGTTTCGAGGAAGAGCTCAGCCTCTTCAAGGCCGGGTCCGACCGGGTCCCCCTCGGCAAGGGTTGCATTGCGAACGGCTGCCAGGAGCGCAGAGACATGGGCCTGGTCATCTTCTGACTGCGTCTCCGGCATCGGAACTAGACGACGGTTGGCCCGAGAGCGAAAAAGACGTTTTTCAAGCAGCTCTGAGTATGGTAGTTGTAAAAATAGTCGGTGAATGGTTGGTGAATTTTATATGAGCTATGGAGGGATAAGGTGTGAAAAGTAAGATTGATTAAGACGAGGATACATGTGACAACCCATGCATATGCACTGTGCTGCTTGGTAAAGGGCATCATATGACACATATCTTGCAACCACAGAGAGACTATAGATAGAAGAAAGGGAGGGAGGGAGGAGGGAGGGAGAGAGAGGGAGAGAGAGAAGAGAAGCGAGAGAGAGTAGAGAGGAGAGAGGAGAGAGTTCGAGAGAGGGAGAGAGAGGGAGAGGAGAGAGAGAGAGAGGGAGAGAGAGAAGAGGCAGCTAGAGAGAGAGAGAGAGAGCAGGGTCTTCTGTTGTTAGTATTGAGACTCTATATTACAAGACAACATATTAAAGATGTATTATAGGCAGACGAGCCAAGTAGTATCAAGACAATATAATACAAGTACAAAACACTAGTTTGCATCGTATCCTTCTTATTGTTTTTCACACACCGAACCTTTTACACACAGACACTTTTGCACAGAAGCTGTTGCACACAGACGCATTTACGCACAGACGCTTTTACACACAGAAGCGTTTACACACAGAAGCTTTTACACACACAAGCGTTTACACAGAGAAGCTTTTACACACAGACACTGGACACTTTTACACACATAGACTTTTACACACAGACGCCTTTACACACAGACGCTTTTACACACAGACGCTTTTACACACAAACCCTTTCACACACACAGAGGCTTTTACACACAGAGGCTTTTACACACAGACGCTTTTACACACAGACGCTTTTACACACAGACGCTTTTACACACAGAAGCTTTTACACACAGACACTAGACACTTTTACCTACAGAAGCTTTTACACACACACACGCACACACACACACACGCTTTTCTTTTACACACGCACACACGCACTTTCACACACAGAGGCTTTTACACACAGACGCTTTCACAGAGACTTTTACACACAGACGCTTTTACACACAGAAGCTTTTACACAAAGAGGCTTTTACACACAGACGCTTTTTACACACAGACGCTTTTACGCACAGACGCTTTTACACACAAACACTTTCACACACAGAGGCTTTTACCCACAGACGCTTTTACACACAGACACTTTTACACACAGACGCTTTTACACACAGACGCTTTTACACACAGACGCTTTTACACACAAACACTTTTGACGCACAGAGTCTTTTACACACAAGCTTTCACACACAGAGGCTTTTACACACAGACGCTTTTGCACACAGACGCTTTTATACACAGACACTTTTACAGACAGACACTTTTACCCACAGACGCTTTTACACACACACACGCTTTTCTTGTACACACGCACACACACACTTTCACACACAGAGGCTTTTACACACAGACGCTTACACAGAGACTTTTGCACACAGACGCTTTTACACACAAACGCTTTTACACACAGGCGCTTTTACACACACACACAGACGCTTTTACACACAGATTCTTTTACACACAGACGCTTTTACACACAGACGCTTTTACACACAGACGCTTTTACACACAGACGCTTTTACACACAGACGCTTTTACACACAGACGCTTTCACACACAGAAGCTTTTACACACGCACACAGAAGCTTTTACCCAGCGGCTTTTACACACAGACACTTTTACACACAGACGCTTTTACACACAGACGCTTTTACACACAAACACTTTCACACACAGAGGCTTTTACACACAGAGGCTTTTACACACAGACGCTTTTACACACAGACGCTTTTACACACAGAAGCTTTTACACACAGACTTCTTTACACACAGACGCTTTTACACACAGAAGCTTTTACACACTGACGCTTTACACACAGAGGCTTTTACACACAGACGCTTTTACACACACACACACTTTCACACACAGAGGCTTTTACACACAGAAGCTTTTACACCGAGACTCCTTTACACACAGACGCTTACACACAGACGCTTACACACAGACGCTTACACACAGACGCTTTTACACACAATCACTTTCACACACAGAGGCTTTTACACACAGAAACTTTCAGAAATCAATTTTCAATCCAACCATTGCATGTCTCAATTGCAGATTTTACGCACAGACGCTCTTACACACAGACGCTTTTACATACAGACCCTTTTACACACAGACCCTTTTACACACAGACGCTTTTATTACACACAGACACTTTTACACACAGACGCTTTCACACACAGACGCTTTTACACACAGACACTTTTCACACACAGACGCTTTCACACACAGACGCTTTTACACACAAACACTTTTCACGCACAGAGACTTTTACACAGAAGCTTTCACACACACAGAAGCTTTTACACACAGACGCTTTTACACACAGAGACCGGGCCCGTGAAATCGCAATTTTACCTCAGTTTTTGGCGATCGAACCTCATGTCGCGTGTAAGGGTTGCGATTGACACCTCAAAATCGCAATTTCACTTCAGTTTTTGACGTCCAACGTCCATTTCGTGCGAAAGGGTTGCGATGGGCCAAGTAAAATCGCAATTTTACCTCAGTTTTTGACGTCCAACGTCCATTTCGTGCGAAAGGGTTGCGATGGATACTTCAAAATCGCAATTTTACTTCAGTTTTTGACGTCCAACGTCCATTTCGTGTGAAAGGGTTGCGATGGGTACTTCAAAATCGTAATTTTACTTCAGTTTTTGACGTCCAACGTCCATTTCGTGCGAAAGGGTTGCGGTGGATACTTCAAAATCGCAATTTTACTTCAGTTTTTGACCTCCGACGTCCATTTCGTGCAAAAGGGTTGCGTTTCGTGGGGCTCCGGCGGCACCGCCCCCGCCTTAAGAGATAGATAGAAAGAAGAGCGAGAGAAGATCCGCAGATGTGAAGGTGCGAGGATCTGCAGATGTGAAGGTGTGAAGATGTAAATCTGCAGATGTGAAGGTGTGAAGATGTAGATCTGCAGGTGTGAGGGTGTGAAGATGTAGATCAGCAGATGTGAGGATGTGAAGATGTAGATCAGCAGATGTGAAGGTGTGAAGATGTAGTTCAGCAGATGTGAGGATGTGAAGATGTAGATCAGCAGATGTGAGGGTGTGAAGATGTAACAGCTGCTTTTTACGAAGAACCCTTCGCAGGCGCTCTTGGGAAAAAGTACAATTTTGTGTGAATTATAGATTCTAACTTTGGATCGTTGCTGTAATTTGGAGGGTCCTTGACGAAATCACCAAACGATGTTTGTGCAAACTTTCATCTCTGTGCATAGCCGCACCTGTAGATTTCGGCTGTGAATTGACTCGATTGAATTTTGGCAGGACATGACTTGCACCGTGTTTCGCAATAAGTCACACCCATGGTTTTGTGCAACTTGTGGGATGGGTCGTTCTGATACCAATCCCCGGAGTGTTAGCCACTTGATTTCGGGAGATTTATATCACATTATATCATCATGGATACCCAACTTGACATGTTCAGGGTGAAGCCATGGCCAAGTAGCAAGATGGCGAGATCCACGAGATCCCATGGAGGCAGGGAACTGAGCAGTTGGATCCAGGAGATCGGTCCGAACTGAACGAATTTCTTTAGGGGGAGTTCAAGACCATGTGCTTTTCCCATGAAAATGACAATGGATGATAACTTGGAGTCCATGTGACATTCCCGATATTTCTGCAACATTCTGCCACTGTTTCCTGCTTGAGTCCTAGTTGTAGAAGCCTGGCGCGCTTGCCATGGGTGAGAAAAATCCGTGGAGATCATTTCGTTTGCCATACAATCCCACCCCGAACCAGGACTCTGCGACTGGACATGAGACATATTTGTTGGAAGAATTCTGTTAGTTTCTCAAATTCCATTCGATTCGTGTGATGTGGTCAGATGCCTGTTCCTGGACATATTGGACTAACTTTCCCTCGCCGTGTTTGAAATTGGAGGAGTCCACTTCGGAAATGGCTCAACCGGCATCCGCTGCCAGCAACGGCAGTGAAGGCAACCCTTTTCTGCAACCAGCAGACTCTTGGATCTGTTTTGTATTTTTTTCAGTATACGTGACCACGTTGGGAAATGTCTTAGACACCTCCAGTATCCAGGGCAGGATTCCCATCTAATATGAAGCGTGCTGACTATCCCTAGAAGCAAGTGGGTTGAATTCTAGGAGTTGTGGAACATTTTGCTGATTTTCTTGAAAAACAGTGATGTGATTCGATGCCTGTTCCTGGAAATATTGGACTAACTTTCCCTCGCTGTGTTTGACATTGGAGGAGTCCACTTCGGAAATGGCTCAGCCGGCATCCGCAGCCAGCAATGGCAGTGAAGGCAACCCTTTTTTGCAACTAGAAGACTCTTGGATCTGTTTTGTATTTTTTTCAGTATACGTGACCAGGTTGTGAAATGTCTTAGACACCTCCAGTATCCAGGGCAGGATTCCTATCTAATATGAAGCGTGCTGACTATCCCTAGAAGCAAGTGGGTTGAATTCTAGGAGTTGTGGAACATTTTGCTGATTTTCTTGAAAAACAGTGATGTGATTCGATGCCTGTTCCTGGAAATATTGGACTAACTTTCCCTCGCTGTGTTTGACATTGGAGGAGTCCACTTCGGAAATGGTTCAGCCGGCATCCGCTGCCAGCAACGGCAGTGAAGGCAACCCTACTTTGCAATCAGCAGACTCTTGGATCTGTTTTGATTTTTTCCCGAATGCGTAGCAAGGGTTCGCGTTTCACTGTGTTCGCTCGACGTTGCGCTTGCGTCCGCAACCGTTCGCAACCGTTCGCGTGAAGCCGCTATGGCCGTGCCCAATGCTGCAAAAGTGGTCACTTTTGAAGGTTTCAAACGTGTCGTAACCTGTGTGGCAGGCGTGGCACTTTGCGATTTCCGAACAGGTTTCATAGCGTGTCAAAAGTCGTTCCGTGTGACAGGCGCAATACAATGGCATCGTTTTCCGAAGATGAGTTGCAATTTTCGTGACAGGAGCAGCGCTTTAGGAGTGTCCTGTTGCGTGTTTTGCGCGAGTCGCTTTGTCAGGGCCGCGTCAAGTGGTGACAACGTGAAAATCGCGTGGCAGGCGTGGGGCATCGTGAGAGTGTCATTTTGCGTGGCAGGTGCAATTTTTGCGACACTCTGCGCCGCTTTACACTTTACACTCCGCACTCTACACTTCACACTTTACACTCCACACTTTACACTTCACACTTTACACTCCACACCCTACACTATACAGTCAACACTCAGGACTTCACACTTTATACTTGACAGCCCACACTCGACACTCTATACTGTACACTTTACACTCCAGACTCTACACTTTACACTTTGCACTTCACACTTTACACTTGACACTCCGCACTCTACACATCATGCTTTACACTTCACACTTGACACTTGACCCGTAGACACTCCAGACTCTACAATATACACTCTACACTCTACACTTCAAACGTTAGACTTCACACTTTACACTTTACACACTCCCCACTCTACACTGCACACTTACAAGTGTAGACACTCTACACTTCACACTTTACACTTCACACTTTGCACTTGATACTCCAGACTCTACACTTTACACTCTGCACTTTGAACTTTACACTTCACACTTCACACTCTACGCTTTGCACTCCACACTTTGCACCTTACACGTGGCGTCCTCATCGCACAATCATACTCTGCCGAAGGTTTAAAAAAGGTTTAAAATCGGCAGCAGGAACACGTTGCAACATCCATGAGGTTTTCCTCTCTATGTGTTTCGATACCTGTACCATTAACACACGTGTGAGCATTCGGGTTCGTGGGCAGCATCTTGTTTTCAATATACTTGACAGGGTTGGGGAAATTTCTTAGACAAGTTCCAGTACCTAGTGCAAGATTCGTGTAATAAATGAGGGCGTGTTGTATCCCTAGAAGCAAGTGTGTTGAATTCCAGTTGGAGTCGTGGTCATATGTAGTGATTTTCTTGAAAAACTGGATGTCTATTCTTGGACTAATCTTCTTTGCTGTGATTGAAATTGGAGGAGCCCATTTCGGAAATGGTTCAGCCGGCATCCAGAGCCAGCAACGGCAGTGAAGGCAACCCTACTTTGCAATCAGCAGACTCTTGGATCTGTTTTGTTTTTTTCCCCAAACCGTCTGTCCGCACTGAGGGGTTCTTAGGGTAGTTGTTAAGACCGGGCTATGGCCCCCGGCATTTTGCTGTCAATTCTCGCGCCAAGTGGCTCTTGTGAGATTTCCATGTGCATTTCGGCCGCGCAGGCTCGCACAAAACGCGGGTCCCGATGTTGGGTCCCGGCATCTTTTCTGTAAACTATTGCATAACATGGCTCTTGTCAGATGTCCATGTGCATTTCGACTGCGCAGGTTTGCACAAAATGGGGGACTGGGCATTTTTCTTGTAGTTTCCCGCACAAGATGGCTCTTGTCTGCGCAAGCTTGCGCAAAAAGGGGGTCCCGTTCTTTGGGCGCGGTATTTTTCTCGTAATTTCCCGCATGACATGGCTTTTGTGCAGGCTCGCACAAAACGGCCCCCGTTCTTGGGGCGCGGCATTTTTTCTGTAAATTCTCGCAAAAAATGGCTCTTGTCAGATGTCTATGTGCATTTCGACTGCTCTGGGCCTGCGGCATTTTCATGGTATATTCTTGCATAAGCGGGCTCTTGTGGAGATCCTGCTAAATTCCTCTCTACGAGGTCCTTGCATGATCCTGTACAGGGCCTTAACAGAAGATCTTGTGGAGATCCTCGTGGGGTCGTCTCTAGGAGGTCCTTGCATGAGGAGCTTGCAGATGCCATGTCTCAGAGGTGCTTGTATGAAAGCTCTTGTTGGAGGCTTTGGGAGGTTCTTGTATCAAGGTCTTGTAAGATCCGCTCCAGCAGCAGCAGGTCCTTTTATGCCGATCTCGTCAGATTCTCTTAGGGGTCCTGGCACGAAGATCTTGCTCACGATCTTTTTTGCAAGTCCTTGTGTGAAGATCTTGTGGAGATTCTGTTGGAATCCTCCTCAAGAGGTCCTTGCATTGACATCTTGAAGATCCTCTGCGTTGGTGCTTGTATGAATGCTCGTCTGGGATGCTCATAGGAAGTTCTTCTATGAAGATCTTGTGAGCTCCTCTATGCAGATCTACATAGAAGGTCCTGCTGCTGCAGTTACGACCATGTCTAACCTCATCTGTTACTCTTCCATAGCTACTTTTGCTGGTATCTAGTACATTGACTTCCCAACCCCCCTTGGTTGGGGCCTCTTGCCGGTGTAATTCAGTATATTTGACAGGGTTGGGAAACGTCTTAGCCAAGTTCCAGTACCCAGTGCAGGATTCGTGTAACAGATGAGGGCGTGTTGATTATCCCTAGAAGCAAGTGTCTTGAATTCCAATCGGAGTTGTGGTCATATGTACTGATTTTCATGAAAAACTATGATGTGATTGGATGCCTATTCTTGGACGAATCTTACCTTGCTGTGTTTGAAATTGGAGGAGTCCACTTTGAGAATGTCTCAATCGGCATCCGTCGCCAGCATCGGCAGTGCAGGGAACCGTCCCACTATGCAACCAGCAGACTCCTGGATTTGTTTTTTACTTGTAATATTAGGATCGGGACTGTCTCAGACCCCTAGTGCCTAGCACATAGTGAGTAAAACAAAAGAAGTGGGTTTCTCCGAAAGCCGGGTTCAAACCAAACCGTGCTAAATCTTCCTTTTTGGGGTATCCCTCCATTTGTCCTGCCTGAATTCGAGTTTGTTTTGTAACAAGTAAGGAGGTAAAATCGAATTTGGCTGAAACCCAGGAACAGAGAAGGCTCGTCTACGTCTCTGCCGACCGCAACCAGGCATGGTGGAAGAGGTCGGATGTCCCCGATGACATCGGCGAGCTCATGGAATGCGAATTGGACCAGAAACCTCTGCAGCTGCAGAACCACCACCTGCCCGTGGTCTTCGCTGGTGGTCCTCGAAGTCAACGGGTCATCCCGGTGTACTCCACAACGATCTACGACTTCATGGGCAAAGTGCGGGAGTTGCCCGAAGAGATGCTTCAGAAACTCGATGAGGACCTCTTGCAGGAGACTTGAGCACTTTTTTTGGTGTAGAGGGTTCACGGTTACGTCAACTCCTTGCCATTGCACGTTCCAAGAAATGGGTATGAGTCTGAGTCGGTGCCAAAACCCATGGAATCCGCTGGCGATCCCGGCTCATATCTCATTAATATTCCCAACCAGCATTTTTTGTTTAAATTTCCTTCAATAAGCTTTGGATCACCCAGGTAAAAGTGTTACGCGCCAGGCCAAAGAGATGGATCACTTTCCGTACAAGGAGCTGATCTTGAACCTGGAGCCCAGAAGTAGGGATGCCCAATGGTGGTTCAGAGACTCCGGCAGAGATTCTCCCGAGAAGAAACTCGGCTGGAGTTTCTTTCTTTTCTTCGGGTGGTGTATTTTTGTTGCGTTTTCCCCAGTTTCACAGAATAGTTGAGAATCGAAATTGAGGAGTGTAAATCCGAAGCTGTGCAGGCAGAGTATGTTCGTGTTTTTTCTTTCTTCAGTGTTTTGATTTCAGGCATGTCTATGTGCGATTCTTCTCCAAAGGCAGCCTAGTGGAGACCTTGATGATGAAAGCACTGGTGCCAGCGATGATGCACGCAGTTGACGTGTACAATTCTTTCACCTTCTTTTTCCAAGCGCAGCTTGTCTCAAACATCTCAACGGATGCAAACGGTTGAAAGGACATTTGCTTTATGGGTTCGTGACACCTATAGGCCCCAGGCGAGACAAAGGTAAAAGGCAATGCAAAACTGGCAATGCAAAAGGCAATGCAGACAGGAATGTGGGATTGCTTCAACAAAACTGCGCTTTCTGTGGGTGGGCCTTTTGTTGACCGCGGCTCTGCCGGCACCAATTTGTCCAAGACCTTTTTGGGCTTCTCAAGCTGATCACCCTGATTTTGGAATCTAACGGACTAGAGGGCAGCATGGCAATGATCAACTTGTGAGAAAGAGGAGGAGCACAGACAGGCAAATAGATAGATGATGGAGGCATAGATCTATAGATTGATGTAGATCCGTATGACTCTATACGTACTGTGTATATATACTGTGTATATATAATTAGTAATAACAATAGTAATAATAAACAAGAGTAAATAACAATAAATAACTAGACGACGGATGGCCCGAGAGCGTAGAGGAGCAGGGTCTTCTCTTGTTAGTATGGAGACACCATATTACAAAACAATATATTAAAGATGTGTTATACGCAGTCGAAAAGAGGAGTATCAAGACAATATAGCACAAGTACAAGACAGTAGTTTGCATCGTATCTTTTGTATAGATTTTCACCCACAGAACTTTTTACAGAGAGACACTTTTACACACAGATGCTTTTAGACACAGACACTTTTACATACGGAAGCTTTTGCGCACAGACATTTTTACACACGGAAGCTTTTACACACAGACGCTTTTACACACATAGGCTTTTACACACAGACTCCTTTACACACAGACGCTTTACACCCTGACGCTTTACACGCAGACACTTTTACACGCAAACACTTTTACATACAGACGCTTTTGCACACAGAAGCTTTTACACAGACGCTTTTACACGCAAAAGCTTTTACACACAGAAGCTTTTACACACAGAAGCTTTTACACACAGACGCTTTTACACACAGACGCTTTTACACACAGACACTTTTACACACAGACACTTTTACACACAGACACTTTTACACACAGGCGCTTTTACACACAGACAGTTTCACACACAGACACTTTTACACACAGACACTTTTACACACAGACACTTTTACAACACAGACACTTTTACACACAGACTCCTTTACACACAGACGCTTTTACACACAGACGCTTTTACACAGACACTTTTACACACAGACACTTTTACACACAGACGCTTTTACACACAGACACTTTTACACACAGACGCTTTTACACACAGACGCTTTTACACACAGACGCTTTTACACACAAACACTTTTACACACAGACACTTTTGCACGCAGGCGCTTTTACGCACAGACGTTTTTACACACAGACGCTTTTGGACCACACAGTTCGGTCATTCTGAGAGCGTTTCCACACACAGACTTATTTACGCACACACACACACGCACTCGCTTTTACACGCACATGCTTTTACACACAGACACCTTTACACGCAGACGCTTGTACACGCAGACGCTTTTACACGCAGACACTTTTACACACAAACGCTTTGACACAAAGACACTTTTACACAACAGAAACTTTTACACACAGACGGCTTTACACACAGACGCTTTTACACACAGAGGCTTTTACACACAGAAGATTTCACACACAGAAGCTTTTACACACAGAAGCTTTTACACAGAAGATTGTACACACAGAAGCTTTTACACAGACGCTTTTTACACAAACGCTTTTACACACAAAAGCTTTTACACACAGACACTTTTACACACAGACACTTTTACACACAGACACTTTTACACACACACACACGCTTTTACACTTTTACACACAAACGCTTTGACACAAAGACACTTTTACACAACAGAAACTTTTCCACACAGACGGCTTTACACACAGACGCTTTTACACACAGAGGCTTTTACACACAGAAGATTTTACACACAGAAGCTTTTACACACAGAGGCTTTTACACACAGAAGATTGTAGACACAGAAGCTTTTACACAGACGCTTTTTACACAAACGCTTTTACACAGAAGCTTTTACACACAGACACCTTTAGACACAGAGACTTTTACACACAGACGCTTTTACACACAGACACTTTTACACAGAGCACACAGAAGCTTTTAAGCAGACGCTTTTACACAGACGCTTTTACACAGATGCTTTTACACACAGAAGCTTTGACACACAGCACACAGAAGCTTTGTACACACAGAAAAAATCGCAATTTTACTTCAGTTTTTGGCGATCGAACCTCGTTTCGTGCGAAATGGTTGCAACGGGAACCCGGAAATCGCAATTTTACCTCAGTTTTTGGCGATCGAACCTTGTTTCGTGCGAAAGGGTTGCGCCGGACAAGTTGAAATCGCAATTTTACCTCAGCTTTTGGCGATCGAACCTCGTTTCGTGCGAAAGGGTTGCGTTTCGCGCCGTCTCGTTGGCACTGCCCCTGCCCCCGCCTTCAGAAGAGAAATAGAAAAGAAGGAGAGAGCAAGAGGGCAAGAGGGCAAGAGGGCAAGAGGGCAAGAGGGCAAGAGGGCAAGAGGGCAAGAGGGCAAGAGGGCAAGAGGGCAAGAGGGCAAGAGGGCAACAGGAGAAGATGTGAAGATGTGAGGATGTGAAGATGTGATGAAGATGTGAAGATGTGAGGATGAGAAGATGTGAAGATGAGCAGATGTGAAGATGTGAAGATGTGAAGATGAGAAGATGTGAAGATGAGAAGATGTGAAGATGAGAAGATGTGAAGTTTGAAGATGTGACGGTGAGAAGATGTGAAGATGAGAGGATGTGAAGATGAGCAGCTGTGAAGATGAGAAGATGTGAAGATGAGAAGATGTGAAGATGTGCAGATGTGAAGATGTGCAGATGTGAAGATGAGAAGATGTGAAGATGAGAAGATGTGAAGATGAGAAGATGTGGAGATGAGAAGATGTGAAGTGAGAAGATGTGAAGATGAGAAGATGTGAAGATGAGAAGGTGTGAAGATGAGAAGATGTGAAGATGAGAAGATGTGAAGTGAGAAGATGTGAAGATGAGAAGATGTGAAGATGAGAGGGTGTGAAGATGTGAAGATGAGAGACAGACCCCCACTATTGGAAGAACCCTGCGCTCAGACGCTCTCGGGAATAAAAGATGATAATAAATAAAAATAAGTACTAACAATGACAATGTATAATAAAGGAATACTTGGACCTGGATAGATGGATCGGTGGGTAAAAGTGCACGTGGATAGAGGCAGATAGCTCTGGGTGCAAGCGACTTGAGTTTTGCTCGTTGATATAAGTTGTCTTGTTTGATGAACCAAGGAAGTGCCTTCGTTTCACGTTCTTGGCTGCTTTTCTTTGTCTCTATTTCCTCACCTGGCTATTCGCCAAAGCCCTTGCTGAAGAGGAGATGAAAGAAGATTTCAAAGTCACAGTCCGGGACGGACAAATCACTGGCTATGACAAGAATGAACTTGGTGTGAAGCCGAAGAGAAATGCCCAGAACCAGCCTTGCAATGAGCAAGACAATGATAGTCACTACAAGAAGATGCTAACTTTGCTGAGCTTGTCGTTTGTGTTGACAACGCCTAGAAGCTTGGTGGAGTTGGCTCTTCATCTTCATTGTCGCGGGGACCATCCCGGCAAAGCAGCTTCCAAAGTGCTTGGAACCAGGCAACTCCTTGCGACGTGGATGTCCAAGGAGCACTTCGAAATCGTTGATCAGCGAGGATTCGAATGCATTGTGCCTGCGGTGCTCTTGACCAAGGTGGTGCTTTTCATGATTCAATTTGTCATTTGGTGTCTGACAATGGACCACAAACTCTGGATTCAAATGGGTTTCAAACTGTTCACCATCGGCAATTTGATTTATCAATTGTGTTGGCTTTGGAAGTATCAAAAGTCCTTGTTCAAGACAGCAACGGCGAGATGGTTCACATATCTCGCGGACCAATTGAAAGCGAAGGTCAATCAGGTCACCCGGGCCCAGCTCAGAACCCTCCATGAGGACGATCTTGAGGAACTTCCCATTCCAGACCAAATCCCATTCAGACCCGAAGTGACCGAAACTCAAGATCAGTTTCAGCAGAGGATTCGAGAGACTCTTCAAGGCAACGTGATCCACAGTATCGAAATGCCTGAAGGGCAGGAAGGAAAATTTCCCCCGTATTTGAACAAACTCTGGCTTCATGTCCTGAAGAAGCACTTCCCGCACTGTCTTGGCAAGAACTTCTGCTACAAACACTGTTGGCTCAGTGTGCACTGGCCCATTCCCAAGTTCAAAGAAGATGTTCAAAGTCGTCTCCTCAAACTGGCGGGCTTGGCATTGGGCATTCTTTGCATCTGCATTATTGCGGATTGTGTTTTGTTTTTACCGCAAAGACACCAAGCAGAGCGAGCAGCGGCCAATGCACAGCTCCAGCAAGTAGTGGGCGATGCCTCGCACTTCTTAGCTCTCAAGGAGCTGCTTAGCTAGGCGAAACTGATACTGATGAGAACTTCGAAGCAGTTCAATAGTCTTAAGTTGTCTTAAGAGAGTAGCTTTCCCATCTATGGCCCAGATGATTTGCCAACAGTTTCAAGAGGTTGGGGAAGTCCAACAAATGTCCTGCCAAGATGGGTAGTGAGTAGTATCGTAGAATGTGAGTTTTTGCTTGCAAAAACCACGAATCTGAGCGTCTTTAACAGGTGCCGCTTGGGCACTTAGCTCACAAAAAACAGACAAACTGAGGGAATCGCAAGGCTGTGTCAACATTCTCAATGCAAAGTTAAAGAAATCAGTGCACCAGGAAAATCGCCAATGAACAGAACAGCAAGGAGGACACATCTGTCGTTGCGGACTGCTGTTTCCCTCAGTGCAAAGAAAACCGGTCAACTCCGTGGTTTTCACCAGAAAAAAAATCAGCTGCCGGTTTCGCCATGGCATTTTGAGCGGAAAATCCACGCCCCAAAGGAAACCAAATGTGAAGTCAATTTGGAAGGCCTGGGCAGTTCTCCCAATATGTTCTTTATGAGTCAGCTCTTTACTCACGGGGTTTGGCTTGAACTTGTACCGAAAAATTGGGTACCCAAGATCTCTGGTTGATCATCATAGTCCCCATCTAATTGCCATACGTTGGGTCAATATGTCCGATTCTAGACATCCAAATCTGTTGATCAACTCCTTATGAATTCCCCATTTGGACTGGTGGAATCCTCCATTTTCAAACAGGCGCTGCGCATGGGGCCTTGCAGAAGGTGAAACGCGGCCCATGGGGGAAAGTCCAACTAGTTCCAGCCTCCAAGATGTTCAACCATTGAAATCAGGGTGATAAACATTGATAAACCACGTAGTACTGGTATTTACAATTGCAGATGACAATGACAAACCGAATCAACTTGATAGGAGAAGTTCGCAACTATGCAGCCCTCAAGGGTTTTGCTGTGCAGGTGAGTCCAATGTGACAATGCAGCGCTGGAGCCATTTCAGTGCAGGGTGAGGCCGGGAGACCGTGGCAGTGGAGAGTCTCGTTGTGGAATCCGTGGATTATTTCTTGGATTTAGGGATTGCTTTTCTCATTCGGGTGGAGAAGCGAGGGCTTCGAACATTCCTCACCTCATCGCCTTGCAATGTTGTTATAGAAGCTTTCAAACATGGTCAAACTTTGGCTCATTGACTCAGGTGGCCACTTCTTTGGAAACGACAAAAAGTTCTTCCATCCCGTGAACGAAATTCCTTCACTGGCCGGGCAGCCCTGGGAAGCGATTTCTCCATATTCTTGTTCAGTTTCAAGCGGTGGAGCCGGGTTGAAAACTGAGATGTTCACTCAGACGTTCCGTGTTTTTCTCTGTGCTTTCCGAGAAAGTCAAGGAACCCTTGCGAGATGGTTTTTCCCAGTGCTTGAGGCTACAAGAGAAGCCATTGGTGGTCAAACAGAAGTGGCAGCTTCCAATCAATGGGAAGTAGCGACATCAAAAGGCGCGCTTTTATTTTTGTTCCAGTTGACAAGGTCAAATCTCAAAACATGGTGCACGAATAAAATCACCTGAGCAAAGGTCAAGGATTCTTGTTCTTTCTTGTCCAGATGCTCGAAACCATCCAGACCTTTGGTTGATGAATACTTTGCCACACCGCCGGGGGAAGAAAGGGCTAGTCACCGTCATAGATCCTTTGACGTTTGCAGTTCTGGTGTGCATTGGAGGCGCCTTTGAAGATGATACAAAGATATCTTCGCCCAGGTTGGTGTCAGCCTGAATGTTGGTGCCGGTGAAAGATGTTGTTGGAATTTTTGACAGCACAGCAAACTTCGTGAAGTTTCATGGCCATTTTTTCTGTCTTGTTTCATCAACACCGTTCATATGTCCATGTACGCTCCTACTTGTATACAACCACGGTTATATCATGGTATATTGACTATCGACCATGACTTGTCTTTGCGGCCCACTTATGGCTGGCAATGGGGGAACCAGTGTTGCTGTGTTCAAAGCAGGTTGCGACAACCTTGGAGGCACCTTCTGGACTCGGATTGCGCTTCGTTTTACCGTCTCAACATGAAGAAGAGAATGAGTGGTGGATGTTTATGGTTTTTAGCATGGCGATGCAAGAACGAGATCTGTTGAAGAGTACTTCCAAGGGTGACGGTCCACCGTCTAGTCAAATCACTGAACAGGACAGGTATTTTCACGAGTGCCAAATTCTCAACTAAAGTTTGCAGAAAAGATGCGCTTCAGAACAGTCTGTGCCGTGCCGAATTGTTGCTAGAGTTTTGCATCTTGTGGATGGTGACAGCATTCGATGTCAAGAATCAAGAACGTGTCCTGAAGCCTTTAGCCCTCAGGCGAGTCCAAAGAAAGGGGAGACCACGAATCCAGCCAAGTTGGTCAGGCTGGGCGGCTTGGGTTACCAACTGCAACATGGACATCAATTCTTGCCGTTCAAAGGATCTGCCAGCACAAAGGGCATAGATGATGTCAACACTGACACGAAAGCAATACTCTAGAATCTAGAACATGATGTATGCGCACGTATGCAGTTCAGACGTCAGACACAAGAATTGCAGAAAAAGACAGAACAGACAATTGCCGCGGAAACAGTGCATAGATGATGTCAACTTGAAGGCTGACATGAATGCAATACATTGCAATACCACAAAATTTGCCGGAACAAACTAAACAGACACATCTTTCATACCCCTCGTTTTTGGGGGTGTTTTGATGCACACTTGCAGGTGGAGGATTCGGTGACGCATTTCATGCCTTTGGCAGTGGCCAAACAGCCTGAGGTCCGCAGTGAAAGTCAAGAGAAAGTCAGCATAGTAGAAATAACTTAGCGAGTTGTCATTTGACTTTCTTGGGAGCTGTGGGATGTTGTTTCTTGTTCTTCATGGACAAAAGATGTCACAATATCCACAAGGAAAGTGTTCCTACCAGACTGCTTGGAAGTCTTGCTTTCTTTTTCTTTGACGAGGCATTATGCTTGTGGCTCGGGTGGCTCATCTTTCGGCCGGAAGCAGAACCAGTTGGGGTGCCCATCTGGAAACTGTACATTCGTGGTCATTTTCGTCCTGAAAAACTAAAAAACGGTTTTGAACAAATGTATTGGCGGGGAAATGTGTTGTTAATCTCTTGTTGCTGCTTGTGGGAGAGAATTCAGGGTCGAGCTGGTATTCAGGCATAGAAGCCCGAAGGATACAACATAGTCCTATGTAACATAGTATTCACTATCTAAGCGGGAAATCATTGGCAAGATGACAAGATAATTGCCATTGAAAATCTCGGGAACTTGCAGCCTGTAGGTGAGCGATCTCATGGTGTAGTGGAACGCGTTGATCCCAGCACCTTGGGCCGTTTTTACAATGTGCTCGTCAGAAACGTCTTGTACTAATGGGTCATGCGACACCCCTGCAGTGAAGTTGCTGATTGAATCATCTTCCTGCTGTTTGAACATTGTTCCCTTAGATCATGTGCCATTTTTTTCGGTGTGGGCGGTGCAGGGAACGCCGAGCTAGCAACTGATGAGTCACGTGCAAAGTGCACGCATGCGATGCTGTGAATCCTGATTGTTGGAAAATGGTGGGAAATTTCAGGGAATTGTCTTGTGGCCTGTTGGTCGGAGTAAGAGGCGGTCGATGTGGACAAACACTTGACAAACACGTTGCAGAACGCGGGAAAAATCCATGATTTCCTCTGACGACATCGCGTCGCCTGTGAAAATTCGAGATTTTGAAGATTATAATATATAATATAATATAATATATATATGTAATATAATATATATAATAAATATAATATATATAATATATATATAATATATAATATATATATATATGTATTATATAACTCTCTTCTTGCGAAGAACCCATCCTTCCTGTGAAGCAGTTTCCCCTTCAGGCCTTTAGGGTCATTGGTTGTGAAGGTCAGAACATTCGATGCTCAACAACCGAAGTTCAAGTGCTGCTATGTTTCCCAGTTGTTTGCAGCTTTTCATCTTCCATATGGAATGGAACAAGCCCAGTAGAATATAATGACTCAGGGGGTATCCTCAGGTGTTGTTGAATTTTTCTGGAGCCTAAGGATGCCAAATTCGACCATAATCTTGAAACCGCCCAAAATGTGAACAGAAAATGTGCACACGGTAGCTAGCGGCTCAAGCTTTGAGACTGAGTTCTAGTTCTTCTCTTTGCATTTTTTTTTCGATCTTGAGGCCGGGTTTGAATGTTAGCTGTGTGTCGAGCAGACTTTGAGCCACAGGCGTAGCATGGTTGATGAAGTTGGGCTGTGGGCCCCTTTGAACTCTCTCTCCTGTTGAGCTTCTTCCCTCGCTTTAAACAGGCATGTCTCGAAAAGATGGGGTCACCAAAATGGTAGGAGTAGATGCGGAGGTTGTGGCAAACTTCTAAAAGACTCATATCTTCGCCGGAAACGCCCAGACCATCCCAGACCCAAACGCAGTTGTTTGGCAGTTTTGTGGTTCCTTCTCGGCCAGTGGAGGCAAGATGTCCGGATTTGTTATGGAGGCTGGATCGTCATGCTCAAGAACATGCGCAAACCATGGCATAGCCATTGCTGCCAGCATACGTGTTTGATGAAAAACAATTCTAGTCGACCTTTACAGCTTTGGGGCTTTGGTGAGTTTGACTTTTGCAGATTGGGTGGGTGATGCTGCTGCAGAGGTGTGCGAAGCGATCCTTGAGCTGATTATGTCAGTCATAGCGTGGCTGGGCATGCTCTGCGGCGAGCACAAGGCTGCCGCGAAGGTTTGTGGAGCTGGTGTGGTGGCGCTTATGCAAAATAGACCCATCAAATCCAGGAAAGAGTAGTTGTCTATGCTTGATATTGAAATGTCCATTGGGCTATTGCAGACCATAGATTGTTCGTCAACCATCGGAGCGATAAAGTAGAGAGAAGCCACCGTGGCCAGTGGGCTACCTTGAGCTAGGCAGTTACTGTGGACACTGACCACTGTTGGACCCATGCTTGTTCATGATGGTAAAGGTG